GTAGCTAGCAAAGAAGAGGGACCTCAAGTAGAAACTGCTGCTGCTAAGAACACTTATGCACGTTTACGAAGAAGCATTTTTCTCATTTTTTTCCTTCACAGTGACGGTAGCATGCAGATGTCTGCAGGAGCAAATACATGCAGCTAAGAGGCTAAAAAAACGGGGGGGGGGGCAGTGTGTAAATAACAGATATATTAGTTAGATTAGAACACTGCCACTTTTGCAAAGGCAGACCTCGCCCTTCAGGTGTCATTTCTTTCCTGCGGGGGATTCTGTGATATTCTGATTCACTTCACCATTATTTTTATGGATTCATAGCCAGTGCTGTTGTCAGTGGCCTTATTGTCTTGCACTGCCACACTGCAAGAGCACGTGAGCCCCAAGCAAAGTGAACTAACAAATCCAGCCCGTGAAAAAGGTGAAAATTGACTTTCAGGTGATGATAAAATGTTGAGAAAGTTAGGGCTTTGGAAATTTTCCCTCATGGTGTTATCTTGATTCTTTTTCTCCGTCTAAATTCATGTGAGCATGTAGTAGGAAATTCTAAAAATTTGACTTTTTGCAAGCTTTTGTACAAATGTATAACATACATGCATCATGTTGACACTGAGGGAATCAGTCTGTAGTTTTGTGGATAAAAAGTACCATATCTATAGTATTTGTGGTGTTGAAGAAAGCTTTGCAATATGTACAAAATCCCAATTAATTAAAAATTGACATTTAGTGGTTGGTATGCTTCCAAATAGTAGCAGAATTTACATATTTTTAAGTGTACTATTTCTGATTTAACACCAAGAGTGTGGAAAACCTGAGTCAATATTCATGATTCTAGAATTTTCTTTGTTTCAGGAGGATTTAGAAGAATGATCAGAAGGAGTTCTTCGCAGGCCATTTAAAAAATGTTTACAGAGGAATATTATAACCTAGAATTTATAATGCAGGTTAATTTCTTTTATAATTTACTTACGGAAAAATGGTTCACTGTGACAAAGCTGTGTCTGTATTCAAGGAATGGATCCAAAAAATTAAGTGTTCTTGTTATCTAAGACCACTGTATGTTTTATCCAGCAAAGAGTAGATTCATCAGGACACATTATAAATAAGTTGTATAGATTAAAACTCTCTCTCTATATATATATATATGTACAGAAGAATATATATGACAGATGGTTTATAGCCTCCGAAGCTTGAAATATTTATACCTGGTCCTTAACAGAAAATGTTTGTTGACCCCCTGGCATAGGCAGTGGAAACTGGGATACATTTATAGGTGTGGTAAAGAGGGAAAAGTCACATGAATGTCTTCTTATCATCAATTTGAAAGTTTAGATGAAATAGATAATTTCCTTGAGAAATATAACTGACTAGAATAAATAAACAGCCATTAGAAAATTGGATCAGCAGTTAAAACTTGCTTTGTGTCTTATCTCTCATGCACATACATGCTTCCAAACCCTGACTAAACCAAGTGTGTACACACACACACACACACACCTGGGAGGATACTGGCCTATGTGAGTGATTGTGGGAGCTAGTTGGGCAGGTCTGGAATGGGTAGGGTGCCATATCAGGAAGGGCAGCCTTGGAACTCTTGGTCATGAGCCGAAGCTGTAGTCCAAAGCTTCAGGAAACTCTTTTGTGCTCTGAAGGCGTTTCAGATGATTGAATCAGGCCCACCCAGATTTTCTAGGATAATCTCCTTAAAGTCAACTGATTAGAGACTTTAATCACATCTGCAGAATACCTTCCTACAGCTGGATCCTACAGCTGGATCCTACAGCTGGATTAGTGTTTGTTTGAACAACAGTGAACTAAAGTCTTCCCAGATTGACCCATAAAACTATCACAGGTGGTATCCACTGGACTTTCAAAGAACTGGTCATAATCATTCCTTTGTACAAAGCGGTTCAGAGAATACAAAGAAAAGTCCCTAATTTATTGTTTAAATAATGACTTTTGTACCAAAACAACACAGAGAGAGTCAACTCACAGGCAGACACCTGAAGATAACTGCGAAAGTCCTAACCAAAACATGAGCACCCAAGACAGAGGTGCTGCTAGCTACTACTCACCGTTCTTCTAAAGGACATAGATAATAAGAATTTAAAAAGAAAGATGCAGAGCTAACCACCCCCCTCCCGCCCTGATTGTCTACATAGAAACTGGAAGATAATCTATTGGCAGTGTATTAGATTTAATGAGAGTTAGTAAGGTTGTACTGGTTATAAGGACGATATAAAAAATTCAGTTGAACCTACATACCAACAATAAGAAATTACACATTACTTATGGAAAGATACCTTTACCAATAGAAATAAAATCTAACAAAAGATGAACAGTGTCTTTAAGGAGAAAATTATAAAACTTTTTGTCTACTTAATTTCAGATAGTTTTGTGTCAGAATCAACTGCTGTGAGTACAGATTTATATCATGATTTATTTTTCTAATTTTTAAAAAATTTTATTTTATTTAGTTATAGTCTGTTTACAATGTGTCAATTTCCATTGTAGAGCACAATTTATCAGTTATATATGAATATACATATATTCATTGTTGCATACTGTTTCACCATGAGCTACCACAAGATCTTACACACACTTCCCTGTGCTGTACAGTATAATCTTGTATAGCTATTCTGTATATACCTGTCAGTATCTACACATTTCAAACTCCCAGTCTGTTCCTTCCCACCCCTCCCCCTGGCAACCACAGGTTATTTATTTTTATTGAAGTATTATTGATTTACAATGTTGTGTTAGTTTCTGGTGTACAACAAATTGATTCAGTTTATATATATATATATATATTCTTTTTCATTATGATTTATTACAGTATATTGAATATAGTTCCCTGTGCTGTACAGTAAGACCTTGTTGTTTTATCTGTTTTATATACAGTAGTCTGTATCTGCTAATCCCAGACTCCTACTTTATCTATCCCTGACCCCCTTTCTCTTTTGGTAACCGAAAGTTTTCTATATCTGTGTGTCTGTTTCTGTTTTATAAATAAGTTTCTTTGTGTCATATTTTAGATTCCGCATATACGTGGTATCATATGGTATTTGTCTTTCTCTGATTTACTTCACTTAGTATGATAATCTCTGGGTCTCTCCATGTTGTTGCAAATGGGTTTATTTCATTCTTTTTTATGGCTCAGTAAATTTCCAATGTATAAATATACCACAGCTTCTTTATCCAGTCATCTGTTGATGGACACTGAGGTTGCTTCCATGTCTTGGCTATTCTAAATAGTGCTGCTGTGAACATTGGGGTACACGTATCTTTTCGAATTAGACTTTTCTCCAGATTATATCATATTTTAAAGTTAACATATTATCAACTGAAGTAAAATATACGTACAGTGAAATTTATGGGTTGTGAGTTTTGATATATGCACACGCCCCAATCAAGACATCCCTTAAAGAATGTCCTTGTCACCTCCCATGGGTAACTAGTGTTCTGATTTCTGTCACTAGATTAATTTTGCATCTTTTCTTGTGTACTCTTGTGTCTGGCTTCTTTTTCTCAACAAGATTGTTGAGATTCATCCAAATTAAGTATCAGTAGTTCATTCTTTTGTATTGCTAAGAAGTATTCAGCGGGCATTTAAGTTTCCAGTTTGGGGCTGTTATGAATAACGGTTCAGTGAAGAGACTTGACAAAGTTGTTTTCTGGACATATAGTTTCATTTATCTTGGGTAAATGAATACCTAGGAGTGGAAAATAAGTTGGGTGTGTATTTAACTTTATAACATAACAAGCAGTTTTCTGAAGAAGTTTATCATTTCACACTTCCACCAGCATATATGAAGGTTCCAGTTTCTCCACATTCTTCTTAACATTTGGCGTCATCCGTGTTTTTAATTTTAGTCATTCTGGTGGGTATGAAATGATATCATAGGTTTCATTTGCATTTTCTCAATGACTAATGATTCTGAGCGCCTTTTCGTGTACATGTTTACAATTTGTGTGTCTTTTTTTGACGTGTCCATTCTAACCTTTTGCCCTTTTTTCACCGAGTCGTTTGCATTTTTTGTTACGGACATGTAGGAGTTTTTATATATTCTGCATTCAAGTCCTTTGTCAGATACATATACTGTGAACACTTTCTCCTGGTCTATAAGTTGTCCTTCAATTTTCTTCATGGTGTCTTTTAATGAACAGCAGATTTTGTACTTGATGAAATCACATTTATCATTGTTTTCTTTTTTAGTGCCTTTGTGTTCTCTTTAAGAAATCTTTGCGCCAAGGAATTGAAGTGTTTGTTTGTTTAATAGTTTTAGTTTTTACATTTAAGTTTATGATCTGTGGCAAATTAAGAGTACTGTGATATAGAGAGTCAAAGTGTTCAAGCCCCTTCCCCCCCCGCCCCCCAGTGTTTACCTGGGTCTATGACAATTTGTTGAAAATACTTTTATTTCTTTAATGACTAGCCTTGGTGCCTTTGTCAGAACAAATTGGCTGTATATACACAGAAGTGTTTCTGGACTCTATTTTGTTACCTTAACCTGTTTATTGATCCTGACCGTGATGGTGCCACGCCACCGTGATTGCTGAAGCTTTGTACTAAGACCTGAAATCAGGTCGTGCAAGTCACCCCAATTTGTGCTTCTATTTTAATGTTGTTTTGGCTATTCTGAGTCCTTTGTTCTTCCTTATACATTTAAAGACTTTATTTTGAAAGAGTTTAACGCATCCAGCTGCAAAATGGTGCAGTTTCCAAGTACTTTCTTCCCAGCTTTCCCTGATGGTCCAGTCTCACATAGCCATAGTCCACGTCTTCAGTGAGTGTGAGACTGGAGCCCATCCAGGTTTTAGCTGTTGTCGGATGTCAGTAGTTCATTCTGCTTTATCACTGAGTAATATTCCGCTGTTTATCCATTCACCCGTTGAAGGACTTTTTAGATAATTCCCATGTCTTGGCTGTTACAAATGAAGCTGCACTGAACATTTGTGTACAGGTTTTTGTGTGAATCTTAGTTTTTGTTTCTCTAGGATAGACCCCAAGGAGTGTGTTTGCGGGGTCATATGGGAAGTGTATATTTGACTTGATAAGGAAGAGCCCAGTTATCTTCCAGGGTGGTTGTACCACTGGATGCCCCCCCCCCCCAGCCATGCAAGAGAGATCCAGCTATTCTGCATTCTTCTTAGCACTTGGTAGTGTATTATTTTATTTTAGCTGTCTTATTGGGTCTGTAGTGGTATCTTTTTGTAACTTTAATTTACTTTAATTTGGAATTCCCTAAGCATAATTGAGTACCTCTTCATACGCTGTTTGCTGTCTGTATATCTTCTTTGGTATCATGTCTGTTCAAGACTTTTGTCCGTTTCTGATTGGATTGTTGATTTTCTTAATGTTGAACATAAACAAGTCTGTATAATCTACATACAGGTCACATATGAGATTTGCAAATATCTTTTTCCTAGTATGTGGCTTGTCTTTTTGTCTTCTTAACAGGCACTTTTGCAGAGTGAAAGTTTTTAATTTTAATGAAGTCCAATTACAGATTTTTTTTCTTTATGGATCATGGGTTTAGTGTCGTATATAAGAACTAATTCATTGATTAATTCTAGGTCATAAGAATTTTCTCCTGTGATTTCGTCCAGAAGTTCCTTCCCTTTAACTTCTTATTTTGAAATAATTACAGACTCACAGAAGTTGCAAAAAAATTAATATGTAGAATCTCATGTGTCCTTGACCATGACATCTTATGTAACTGTAATACAGTATCAAAAATGAGAAACTTAAGTTGGTTCAATACTGTTAACTAGACTATTGATTTTTGCAGTTTTTCACTGGTTTTTATTACATGCATGTGTGTATGGTTCTTTGCAGTTTTACTCCATGTTCCTGTTCTTATAGGAAAAGCATTCAATATTTCACGATTAAGTACGATGTTAGCTATAGGTTTTCTGCAGATTCTTTGTTGGATTGAAGAAGTTGTTTTTCATTCCTAGTTTACTGAGAGTTTTGTCTGTTCATTTTTAATGAATGGCATTGAATTTTGTTACTTTTTTTTTCTGACTCAACTGATGTGATTGTACGGTTTTCCTTTTTTAGATCTGTTAATGTGATCACATTGATTGATTTTCAGATAGTGAACCAGCCTTCCAACCTTGGAATAAAGCCAATGTGGTGTGTTGTATTTTTCTTTTCATATATTGTGAGATTCGATTTGGTAATATTTTGAGGGTTTTTGTATCTGTGTTTGTGAAGAATATTAATGTGTTTTTGTTTTTTTTTTTAATATTGCCTTTGCTTTTGGTATCTGAATAATGTTGGCCTCTTAAAATGTGGTGGATTCAACCAGCTGCTATCTTGTAATACTGTAGTACCTGTTTACTGAAAAAAATCCATGTTTAAGTGGACCTTCCCAGGTCAAACCTGTGTTATTCAGAGGATAGCTGTGTTGGTATGAGACTCGTAAAATATGAGCATTTATTGCTATGAATTTCCCAATAAGCACTGCTTTAGCTTTGTCTTAAAATTTTTGTTGTATTTTCATTTTCTTTCCGGTCAGTGTATTCCTTTTTTTTCCCCCCGATAACTTCCTCTTTGACCTGTGGGTTATTTAGAAGTGTGCTATTTAATTTCTAGGTGTTAGGAGATTGTCCTGTCATCTTTCTGTTACTACTATCTACCTGATCCCATTGTGGTCAGAGAAAATACTTGCAGTTTTTAATATTCCATTTGATTTACCTGCAGTGTTTTTCAATTTATTTCTCAGGTTTTTTCTCGTGGTTGTCCTAAAGATTACATTATGCATACATAGTTTATCATAGTCTACTAGCATGAATATTTTATCATGTAAATTGAATGTAGATATCTTAGTATCACCAAAGTCACTTTACCTGCTTCCCTTTATGATGAAGGCATCTTCAATAATACCTCTGCACACATTGAGAAAGCTGTAATTTTTGCTTCTGTCAAAAATAATTTTTAAAACTCAAGAATAGTTTATCGTATTTACTCTTACTATTGCTCACTCTTCATTCCTGTTGTTCTGAGTTTCCTTCTGTGACTAGTTCCTTCCTGTCTGAATAACTTCCTCTAGCTGTTCTTTTAGAACAGGTCTGCAGGCAGGAAATTACCTTCACTTCCCTTCGTCTGAGCTATCTTTATTTTGTCTTCAGTCCTGAAGAATGTCTTTGCTGGCTGTAGAATTCTTGATTGGACAGTTCTTTTCTTTCAGTACTTGGAAATACTGTGCCACTACCTGTGGTTTCTGATGAGAAATCTTTTGTCCTTTGAATCCTCATTCCGCTGTGTTTCTCTCTGATGCCTTAAAGATTTTTCTTTGCTCATTTTTCAGAAGTTTGTTTATGATATGTCTAGGTGCATATTTCTCTGGGTTTTTAACTTTTTTGTTTTAGGTTTTTTGTAATTTTTTTTTAAATGGAGACACTGGGAATTGAACCCTGGACCTCTTCCATGCTAAGCATTCACTCTATCACTGAGCTCTACCCACCCCACCTTTACCTGTTTTCTGTTTATGTCTTTTGAATAATTTGGAAAGGTGTCAGTCATTATTTCTTCAAATATTTTTTTTAATCCTTGTATCCTTTTTTCCTGTTTTACTGAGAGTATGGTAAAATCAATGTTAGATCTTGTTTTTTTGTCCTGCAGATTCCTGAGCCTCAGTCCATTTTTTAAAAAAGCCATTTGCTGTTTTTCAGATTGGAAAATTACTATTGAATAATCTTCTTGTCCTCTGATTTTTTTCTTATGTCATTTTCATTTGTTTGTTATATATTAATCTTATATATGGGATCCTTGCCAAACACTTACTGGTTCTGGTAACTTTTTGTATATTCTGTTGGATCGTCTGTAGAGGCAATCATATGATCTTTGAATAGCTGTGGTTTTATTTCTTCCTTTTCAACCTAGAAGCCTTTTATTTTTCTTGGCTTATTGCACTGGCTAGTACATACAGTGAAATGTTGAGTGCAAGTGGTAAGAGCAGACTTCTTTATCTTGTTCCCTGTCTTAGGGGGAAACATTCAGTGTTTCATCATTAAATATGTCAGCTGTAGATGGTATTTATCATGTTGAGGAAGTTTCCTTCTGTTCCTACTTTACTGGGAGTTTTTATTAGGAATGGATACTGGATTTTTGTGAAATGTATTTTCTGTGTCTATTTTAATAACCATATGTCTTTCCTTTTTTAGTTTTTTAATAATGATGAATTGCATTTCTTGACTTTTGAATATTAAGTGAACCTTGCAATCCTTGGATGGACCTCACCTGGTCATGAGGTATTATCCTTCTATTGCTGGATTCAATTTGCTAATATTTTGTTAAGGTTTTCATCTTTATTCGTGCTGGGATATTGGACTGTGGTTTTCTTTTCTTGTAATGTCTTTGTCTGGTTTTGGTATCAGGGCACTGCTGGCCTCAGAGTGGTTTTCTGGAAGAGTTTGTATGGAATTGGTATTATTTCTTTGTTAAATGGCCACATTCACTAGTGAAGCTGTCTGGGTGTGGATTTTTTTTGTGAGAAAGCTTTTAAGTACAGATTCAATTTCTTTAATAGATACAAGAATATACTGGTTATATGCCCTTTTGAGTTGGGTTTGGTTATTTCTGTTTTTCAAGGAATTTGTCCATTTCAAATTTTCTGGCCTACATTTAAAAATTAAATACATTATTATTATATAAAAATATGTATCATTTCTGATGTTTGTGACCTTTTTTTTCCCTGTCTGGTGGTTTCTCAACTTCAAGAATCTTTTCAGAGAACTATTTTTGGTTTCATTGCTTTTCTGTCATTTTGCTTGTTTGTTCGGTTTGGTTTCTATTTCATTGATTTATGCTTTGATCTTTATTATTTCTTTTCTTTTGTTTGCTTTGTGTGTGTGTCTGGTTTTTGTTTGTTTGTGTTTACTTTTTCTGGTTTTTCAAGGCAGAAACTTAAGTCATTGATTTAAGACTGTCCTTTTCCAATGTAGGCTTTTAGTGCTACCAGTTTTTCTATCAGGACTGTTTTAGCTGCATCACACAAATTTTGATAGGTTATATTTTCATTCATTTCAAAATACTTTCCAATTTTCCTTTTCATTTCTTCTTAGACCCACGGGTTATTTAAAAGTGTGTTATTTAGTTTCCAAATGTTTGGAGATTATCAGAGATCTTTCTGTTACTGATTTCTAATTTAATTACAAAGGTGTCAGGAAACATGCTGTGTATGATTTGAATTCTTTTACATTTATTAAGATTAGTTTCATAGCCCCGGCTGTAGTTTATCTGGGTAAATAATCAGCTGCTGTCGAGTGGAACAGTCTTTAGGTCAAGTTACTTGATGATGTTGTTCAAGTACTTTAGAATTTTAACATGTAAATTTAAATGCATGTCTTTTTTAACATGCCTTACATATTTCACGCTTGTACATTGGGGATTCATCTTTATTTGATCAACGTATCCCCTGTTACTTCTTGTGGCAGGCTTTTTACACAGAAGGTTCCAACGTTGCCTTCCATCTCGCAGGCTCTTCTAGGGCGTGGCTGTCCCCCAAGGAGAGGCTGAGCTTAGTGACTTGAAGTCAGGATGGGGTGGCAGCAGTGATGCTCCGTGGCCCCCCGCACTGCAGGGTCAGCTCGCGATTGGTCATCTAGGACTGCTTCCTCTCCCATGAAACCTACCGCGGTACCAGGGACAGCCCTCTAGTTTGCCCTCCTCACTGAGCCACCCTCCAGCCTGCCCAGCCCACGTGCCAGATACATACGGGAAGAAGGAAGTCATCTCGGAGGTAAATCCTCCAGCTCCAGCTCTTGCAGCTGTTGAAGTCAGTGTCTGAGTCTTCCCTGCTGAGCCCCAGACACTGAAGCCGAGAGAGTCTGTTCTGTCTGCCTGTCTGACTTCCCACTGCGGGTCCCTGTGCATAAGAGAACGTTCCTTGTCTTACATCACCACGTATGATTGGTGGCTTGGCTTGTCACACCATAACAAAGATCATTTCTTTTTCAGTAGGGTCGAAAGAGGTACCCTTTCCAGTCCCTACATACCTAATAATATCTGTTTTTGTTTTGTTTGTTTTAGGGGAGAGGTAGTTAGGTTTTTTGTTTTTTGGGGTTTTTTTGTTTTTTTTTTTAATGGAGGTCCTGGGGACTGAACCCAGGACCATGCATGCTAGTCATGCACTCTACCACTGAGCTATACTTTCCCCCATGAAAGCATCTTTAATTTCACTCTCGAGTCGCTCTGGAGTTCTTGGATATACAGTGATTCTCTCTCAGAACTTTGAAGTTAACGATCTTGCATCCAAGTCTTGCCAGTGAAACAGGATGTAAATCTGGTTCTTATTCCTCTGCCTGGTAATGTTTTTCCTTGTGAAGCTTTTAGGAAATTGGAGCTTCATACATTTCATCAAAGTGCATTTGGGTCGTCTGTTATTTGCTTCTGTCTGAGGACTTGTGTCTTTTTATTTGCCTCAGTATATTTATTACAACTTATTCTAAAATTGTACTTTCTTTACTCTGTTATCCCTCTTAGGAGTTGGTTATTTCTTGATTAATTACAGTTACTGTGTTCGCTGTTTTGTTGTTGATGTTTGGTTTTTGAAACACCCTGGTACCCTCCCTGCAGCACTGTATCAGTTCAGAGGTGCATCAGAGGATGTGGGGAGTGCCAGGAAAAGTTTAGGGGCTCCTGGTCTTAAGTGTCACGAAGATAGATATTGGAAAACTTCCTGATCTTTTGGAGATAAATGCCTGTGTTGACTTACCCGTGGTCCGAGGGCAGCAGGAGAGTGGCTCGTACTGTGGCGTTTCAACCAATCCTGCTTTGGTTTCCTCTGGGGAGTCTCCCTTCCCTGTTTCTGCTGCTTCAGAGCAGGGGCAGCTTCCACTTCTGGCGTCCTGGGAAGAAGCTCTGGGGTAAGGTTACCTCCTTCCATCTTGTCTCACGTCATCTACCTTTTGTCTTTCAGAATCCTCGATCATTTCGGCTCTAGAGGATACTGATCCCTTTGTTTCTCAGGGCACTCTAAGAATTTCAGGAGCAGCTGGGGGTCTGGAGCTCAGGCTCCCATTTTAGGCTAATTGTGGTAGTTGGTGTAAAATGCTCAGAAATCGCATGTGCTTTGTTTTTAATGCACACGGGGTCCCATTTGTCCTTCTGCTGGCTCTGTTTGTCTTAAGCTGCTCTTATTACCAGGTAGGGAAACTGCTCGTGTGCCTCTTGGGTGTCTCCATCCATCCTTGGATCTCAGTATTGATAAAAATCGCCTTTCTGTGGATTATATTCATTAAAAAGTTAAAATGCTTTAGTCTGTGACTTGAATTTTGACAAGAATACATGGAATATGTAATCAAATCAAAGTGTTGCAATATTGTTTGCAGAAATTTTTAGAAAATGTTGCCTGTGTCCCTCACATTTTTTTCTGTTGTATATAAAACAATATTTAGAATGATTTACAGCGACTAAAGTAATCACAGTTTTATAACGTTATAAAAAAGAGTCACTTTTTAAAAAAATTTATATATATATTTTGGGGTGAGTAATTAGGTCTGTTTATTTATTTGTTTATTTTTAATAGAGGCACCGGGGATTGAACCCAGGACCTCCCGCATGCTAGGCATGCGCTCTACCACTGAGGTGCACCCTCCCCCAAAAGAGCCCTTTTGTAATATATTTGCATAGGCTTTCCTTTTAAGCACACCAGAGTGCTTATTTTCCCCGTAAACTGGTGATTTACTTGAGACTTTATTATATTAAAGAAAGACCTTCTTTTTTCCCTCCAGAGCAGCATCTCAGACATGTTGAAAAAGACGTTTTGATCCCTAAAATAATGAGAGAAAAGGCCCGGGAGAGATGCTCCGAGCAAGTTCAAGGTAAGATTCAAATATTCATATAAAGATCAAATGTATTTTTTATAATATGATCCAAATTTAATCCTTAGCCTCACAGTCGAGTAGTCAGTGAATTAATATGTACGAATTGCTTCTCACCCTTTTACTCAATATCACTCAGGATCTCAGCTTTCAGAACTTCCAGGCAGTGTTCCATTCATTTACAATTTAAAAATATTCTCCCATATTACTAAGAAAAAATTTTTTTCCCAGATGTACAGTTACGTGTAGAGAAAAGCTTGTATTCATATTTTGCAGAAACAAGTTATTGCGATGGTTCGGATAAGGAAAGAAGAAACATCAAATGTGATATGTGCCTCATTTTCCTCTGTCAACATAATCATGTAGATCTATATTCTAAGGTGATTTTCTTTGGTATCATTGTCTATTACTGAATTGTTAATGGAATCTCAGCAGTACTTACAATGAGTCTGTTTTCAAAAAAATTTTTTTTCTGTATTTTGGCATGCACTAGACGCCCACATACGCAATGAAAATGTTTTCTTTGGAAAATGTTTTTTTAGCGTGAAATACTCCTGTAGTCTGTAAATCTAGAGATAGGTTGTTGATTGATATATAATATTATAGTGAAAAATGTAAACAAAGCAGTAGGTGAAAAGGGGGACCGTAAATGATGGGTAATTTGCAAAGCAGGTGGCAGTGTTACCGTCAAAATGTTTTTGAATAAAGATCTGCTTCTCGGAATGGCCACTGCAAGGGCGCAGCGGCCAAGTCTGGCGGGCGTGGCCTGCTTTCCTGGCATCCCTGCCTCACTCCCCCACGGTCTTCATTGAGGGACTGTGTCTGGTAGTTCTCAGTGGGAGTGATGGGCTGCGGTCCCACTGCAGGCGTCCCACAGGGAGACCAGGCTGTGTCAGCTGCATGTGTGCTGTGCTTCTGGGACTGTGTCAGTAACATCAGTAACATTTGGGTGCTGGGAACGTTTCTGTCCCTTAGACGCTATCTCCTTAGAGAATGGCCTCCGTGATTGGTGGAGAGGCAACGTCTGATGACGTTGTGTGATGGTTTTTGCTTTTTCTTAAATGATTTGTTCTGAGCTTTCTAGTTTTAAATTCATCCATGAATTAGGTCTAAAGTAAGTCCATCCATAAATAAATTGATTAACACATTACCAGTAATGTATTAGTGTCATTCTGTGGTCCTGCTTTCATTGTGAATTAGTTGCTTAATAGAGCTCCTTCCTTCCCCCCACCCCAGGTGTCAGGAGAAATGACCCCATTGGCACCTGCAGGTAGAGTTCAGTGCACATCTGGCATTGGCAGGTGTCATGCTGGAGGTCCCCGGAGACCACCCCTGACCTGTCTCATAGAACGTTTACAAATATGTGCCGTGACTCAGGTGAGGGAGGATAGAACTTAAAAATGGATAGTAGAATTACGCAGTTAACTTTTCACTCCCAGGAAGAGTATTTACTTATGACTGATCTGTTGGTCCAAAATGATAAGCATGAGTTCCATTTATGCTGTTTTGTAACCCATGATACGGATTTGTGGAATGAAAGAAAGCTAGCTCACTCAGTTATAGACTTGAGTTTTTCCTCACATGGTTCAGATGAAAATATACAACCATTGGGTTAGGGTTTCAGAACTACCTTTGCTTACTCTTAGACAGTGAAACTTTGTTTGTGGTCTTTGAAATGAAAGAAATAGAGTGTAACTTTAAAGTATTTATTTGTGTTGTACAAACCACTTTGTGATGGTACAGAAAAGAAAATGTTTAATTTTTGCTTCTTTATCAGAACTTAAGTTGTTGAGGATGTTGACATTGTTGTTAAGTTTTTTCTAGTATCTTCTCAAGATGTTAAAATTTTAATACTTTCATTATGTAAAATAAAACCTGTTTATTTTAACAATATTTAATTTTAATATTTAAAATCTTCTGAAGACTGAAAGCATTGTAGAATTTGAGCTCCATTTGGGTAATTTTAGTGCATTTCTTACGTTATAACAAATGATCTTTGACTAATTGAATTTTTATAGAAAATCGCCTATTGATCTTTTTAGGCCATATGGTCGAAAACAGTGTCTTAGAATCTAAGATTGATTATTTAACAAGAGAATGATCCTTAGTATCTCCCTGTTTAACCACCATGTGAATCAGGGAAGAACACACATTGGTGTTGCTCCAATAGCAGCAGAGCAGCCACATTTAAGCTGGACAGTAAGACGTGATTTAGAATCAGGACGCTTGCCTTGTAGTTTATTTACTATTTATAGCCTTTGCTCTATTAAATCATTGCAGGATTTTATATGAAAGTGTTATGCATCCTAATTGTGTAGTTCTTGGATAAAGATACAGGAATTTTAATGATTGATCTGACTTTCTGCTAAATGCCTGAAACATGGTTATGTATGAAAGCTATTCTGTTTGATTTTTTTTTTTTTTCCCTCCATGTCGTTTCAACCTGGCTGATCATAAGAATTGGGTCAGGCTGCCAGCGACTTAGGTTTGTGAAGGGAATGGAACAGCTTTTCCAGTGACAAAGAGAAATGAAGTCACTTTCAATGAAAGAAGGACGCCTCATTATAGGCACGGACAGCAGTTATTGACAGCTACACTTCCTATTAACAAGGGGCGTTTAACTGTCGGATCTTTGGACTTGATCTAATTTGCTAGCATTAATTAGTTTCTTTTGAGCACAGACACTTGGTGCTCACAGCTATAGATTTGGAGGGCTAATTAGGATGGAAAATTGAACAGAATGGGGTAAGGCATTAACCTTCAACCATTACCAGCTGGGACACTGATAAAGACCACGGCGTCCACATGCTCCCTATTGATGTGAAGAGTGCCCTGATGAATATCCATTTCAGCCAGGTTTCTGTGGTCTTCCTAGTTCTCTCTTCATCAGAAGTTTGAACCTGCATCCTGATCCCCATTATCTGTATATACACGGTTGGTTTTTACTACACACTGATTTAGTCTGAGTTGTACACTTCACCTTATGTTTAAACAATTAAAATTTGTCTTAAATAGCAGCTAACATTTAGCATATTTCATCGTAATATCCCCTAGTACTTCTAAAATTTAACTTTTATCTACAATTACATGATTCTAATTCTACAGTTAATTTTTCTGAAGTCACAGTAACTTCGCCATTTCAGTATGATGAACATTATAAGCTGAAACAAGGAAATCTCATTTTGGGGGTGACAGTTAAGCAGTGTTGGTATTAAACGTGTCTTCTTAAGAATCTTTGTCTTCGTCGAGTAGATATACTTTTTTGTTTGTTTTTGAAGAGAAAAATACTTTTGCACTTAATTTTGATGTGATGAGTGAAGATGGCTTGACTTGTAGATTGGATACAGAATTGAGACTCCTGACCTCACTATTGCATAAACTTTCACAAGATTATAACCTCTGCTGGTAGAGTATATATCAGAAGAAAGGCAATAGAACAATTAATTTAAATAGAAAACTCAACTTTATAGTATTTTTATTTTGCCAGTGGTACTGGTGGCAGTGAATAGAGCCACTGAGAAACATGACCAAGTCTGTTTGCAGATGTTAACACAATGAACGCTGAGTACGCTGGGGATGGACCTGAAGGAAAACTAGAATTTTCTGACTTACTTGCTCCCTCCAGTCTCCCCCACTCCCAGAAGCCAAAACAGAAATCCCATTCCACCAAGTGTGATAATGGATCTGGGAGTTACCAGCTTGTGGTGTTTCAGGAAGATGGTTTGATGACCAGTCTGGGAAATGGTAGGACCACTCCCCAAATCCAGGTTTTCACATCAGCCAAGGGCCAACCTGGCAAGCAGGTCTTTCTAAGGACAGCAGTCTCAGGTCTGCCATGTTACCTCTTTTCTGCCCCTGGACACAAGAAAAGTGTATTTAATAGTTTATTTAATGTGTATTTAATAGTTTTATAACACTTGATTAAATGATTCTGTATTTAATGAAAGTTCCAACGTGTGCGTATTGGATCTGATGTCATGCCAGTGGCGTCATGAGTAATAGACGTCTGTCAATCACAGATACAGCTGAATGATTTTTAAAACAACTGAACAAAGTATATAATGATCGTTATTCATTGATTTAGCAGTTCTCAGTTACATTTATTAAACCACACTTGTAGTGTAGGACTTAATGACTTACGATTGTCTTGTTTCTGAATAATGGCAGTTTTGTAATAAAATTATCTATAATTGGACATCAGTATTCTTGAGTTTTACGGCTAGTTCTTATGGCTAGTCCCCCCCCCCCAGAGAAAGGTGTGGTGTATTTTAGTCTTACAACTTAAATCTTTAACTGCTAAATCTTTAAAGGACTAAATTAGGGAATTTTGTCAGGGCAGGTAAATCTAGTATTTTAAACAACTAATTTATGCAACTCATTTCTGAAGGTATGAGTGAAAAGTCTACATTTGAATACACAAAAAATTATATGGCTTGGAACTTAGAAATATTGTTAAAATGAGTAAATATTATTAATACAAAATATGAATTATAATTTATCAGTACTGTATTAACCAGTTTGTATTATTTTCCTAGATTTCTTAGATATTCAACTTTTAATTATTTTGCTGTAATAGACTTAAATCCTTTCATTTTTGTGAGCAATTAATGCCAAATTAAATGTAGTCTTTAAACAGTATAGTGTCCTTTCATATAAAATCTGAGTACAATATCACACTTTATATGAGCTACCTGATGATTCTTGAGTTGCGACTGGATTCTTTCCAGATAATCAGAACCTGTGACTGGTAAACTTCTTGCAAATACTCACAAATAATTATATTTTGACTAAATACGTTCTTCTAGGAATCTTGTATGTCTGAGGGAAAAAATAAATAAGGGGGAAATTTGGTTTGTGTACAAAACTCTGGTATGCATTGAATTGGTAGGTTTAGAACTATTTAAAAACTAAGCAGTTCTTTTTGAGATGGGTCTAGAATTTGCTTCAAACTGTATGTAATGTATAAAACAGAAAAAAGTAGTATTTTTATATTATTACAA